TGGGGGCGGGCCTGGCACCAGGCGCATGGCGGGGGGAGCGCCGGCCCCGGGCATGCAGCTATGGGGGGGGGCCACCCCCAGGCATGCGGCTATGAGGGGGCCGCCCCCAGGACGCAAGTGTCCCCGCCCCTGGCACCCGGTGGGTGAACGGCCATGCCCCCTGGCGCCCGGCGGGCAAACGGCCACGCCCCCTAGTGCCCGACAACCTTGAAAGGTTGGGGACCACTGGTCTAGACAGTATTTGGTCCTGAGGGGACTGGACTCGATGACCTCTCGAGGTCCCTTCCAGTCCTAGTATTCTATGATTCTATGCACTGTATGGAAAAGATTGAAAATTGCTGGTTCAGAGGGATAAAGACTTGTTGCCTTTACTCTGTGTGGGTGGGTGGGTATGGGAGGGGTGCTCAAATTAAATTTAAGTGGAGGCAAGTAATATGTGCATGTGGAGAATAGTGCCCCTTAGCATTTGTTCTTAGGCTACTTCAAACTATTCAATAAACTCACTTATGTAGCTAGCAGTGACTATATAGTTGTTTTTATATTGAAATTTGTCAGTTCTTTTCCAGTCTCTCTACCCATTACACCATTGTACAGAGCATGAAGAGGATAGCTTTAAGCTTTGAACAAAATGCAGTAACTTAATGATTGTTTTGAGCTCAGTGTAATCTCTGCAACCTCTACACCCAAATGAGTCACACTAGATTTGCCTATGCAGTGAGCTGCTGCTTCAGCAATGACCTGCCAGTGTCACATGCACCTCAGTAGCTGCAGTCTTCCAGACGCAGTGTCGTGAAAGATGAACTTTATGCGAAATGATGTACTTTAATATTAAATGCTCAGTGATGATTGTTCCCTTTCCTGTGACCTACTGACCATTGGGTCACCATTATGCTGATCTCTGGAGAAATGAATGTTGTGATAGAATCTCTACCCTGACTTCTTCTATAAATGGATTCTTTCCCCCTCATTTTAGTCATATGTTATCTCTAGACTTCTGCAATTCAGCCTGCTTTATGGGTTTTGACAGCCATGCCCTGTCCTCGCCAATGAAATAATTGCATTAACTGTTATAACTATTCAACATATTTTTCACATTTCACCACAAAGTTGCAAATAGGCCTGTGTCCTGACATGCTGCAACTTGGAATATGCCAATATGGAATATTTTCCGCTGAAAATCAGCCCATTTTCAAGCAAACCCTGGGCCTATTCCAAACACAAGGTGCCTTGGAAATTTGAATTAGACTGTTTATAGGAGGAAGCTCAAAATTGGAAATTTCATATTTGAATATCAGTATTTTGCATGTTTTTCCATGAAAATAGCCACTTGGTCCGTCTTGCAGATGACTGAGATTTGAGGTGTGAGAAATACCTTGACCTGAAACTGAACAATTTTATGCAACATATTTCCCCAGCCTTGCTCAGCTCCCTTGAAGGGAGCAAGCTTAGACTCAGTGATTAGATCTAGCCACCTAATACATTGTGGTGACTCCTGACATGGATAAAATGCTAATATTGTACTATGCCTTTTTAACTTATTAAAATAATGAACTCATGAGTGTAAGGTGTGTTAATATCAGTGTTCTTAAGTAAGTGGTCCGTAGACTGCATTTTCTGCATTTTTAGTGTGACAGAACACAGGGAGGATAATCTATCACTGCAGTTATGAAGAACTCCAGAATAATACTGTTGATTGACTGTCGGCGTCACATGACAGATCATTATGACACTGTCTCTTCCTCTACCAGGATCACATTGAAAGATGGGGAGATATGTAGGCTGTACCTCCAAAATGATGTGGCAAGACTATTGCATGCTGAGGTGTCTCAAACAAAATTTTGTATAATTAAATGTGTGCTTCCCTTAGCTATTTGCTAACTCTCTTACGACATTGTAGTATTTGTACCACTGATGATGATTGAAAATGATGTAATCTGTTTATGGGCAGGTTGGGGGACCACCAGTTTAAGCATCTGTGGACCCTTTGGGATTAGGTACCCACACAAACTATGTGTGTGTTGTTGATTTTTGCTTGCTGTCTTTTTTTTTTTTTTTTTTTTGGTAAAGCAAGGATGCTGTCCTCTGAAGCAATGATGGTTTTTAAAGCATTTTTTGTTTGTGAAAGGTGGGGGTTTTTTTCTTCCCACTCTAAAGGACAAAGTCCTCCGCCCATAGCTAATTTATGGGTGGGAGCAATGCAGATTTCCTCCATGCTGTCCTAAATGTGTCTAAAACATAAGAGAGGTGATCAGTCTTTGAGGGCTTGCCTAGAAGAAAGTTTAGTGTGTGTGAAGCTGGTGTGTAAATCTAATAGATGAGATCGCTCTGTAACTGCCCATGTGGACCTTGCTACCAAATACAAATACACCTTCCTGCCCTTTGATCTACTCCACTTGAAAAAACAGCAAGAATGGCATATGTGAATGTATTAATTTCTCCTCTAGTAAGTGCATTGAAACCACCAACTTACTTCACGTAAGTCATCAGATATCAGTCGGATGGTCATTTTTTAGTCGCTGCTGACTTTGTCTGGTACAGAACTAGTCCCTTAAACTTCAGGCCTCAAATCCCATGAGGCACAAGATGTAATATGTAACTTTACTTTTTTGTGCCTCATTTTCTAGGCCATTAATACCTCAAAATTTGTCACGTATACTTGGTAATCATCCTACTTCAAAGAAAGAGAGAATCTTTAATGCTTCTGTCATTGTTCTGTCTTGCTATTAACTCAGACTCCTGAACAAGATAGCAACAATAAGTTCTTAAGCTGCTTTGTTCAACTAATATCGTAATAATTTGCATTATACCTCTGTAACAGAGCCTTTATATGGCACCTGAGTTCAGCTTTTAGGAATAGGACCTCGACAGAAAGCAGTGAGCTAGTGTGAGGAGTGTGCTTTGACAGAGTGCTTCAAATGGCTTGCCTGATGAATACTCCAAGGTCCCTCGTTGTTGGAGTGTTTTCCAGGGAGACGCGAAGCTAGCGTCCCTTCCCCTCCTCCCCAGCAGACCAGGGAGACGCGGAGCGGCTTTTCTCAGCAGACACCTCAGCTTGAGAATAAAGGACTGAGGGAAGTGAGGTGTGGGAGAATAAAACTGAGCTCTGGAGAAATGTTTGGCTAGAGTTTCCCCTACAATATGTACCAGTTCTGACTTACATACAAATTCAACTTAAGAACAAACCTACAGTCCCTATCTTGTACGTAACCCGGGGGCTGCCTGTATATGTACAGGGTCTTTTTGTCATCAGGCTTTATAGCATAAGGTAATCATCACTTGGGGGTCAGGAAGAAACTGAAAGTCAAAGATCATGGGAAGGATGGCTCAGTGGAAAGGACACTGCCCTAGGACTTGAGAGACTTACATCAATTTCCTGCTGTGCCATGGATAATCCTTTGTAACCATGGTCAAGTTACTTAATCTCCTGTTCCTTAAATTCTCTCTAGAATGTA